ATATTTGTTAGTATTGAATGATTCGTCCTTATTGATGACAATGTAGTTACGTGAAATATTTTAGATTCATGCGTATTCGCTCGCAGATTAACAATAATAAACATGGCTTCGCGTAATGAAAAAAGAAGGATAACAACCTTTATAGATCCCAGATAAGCACGAGAACATAATGAGTTATTCGCCCATACTACACCCGACCAGACTATATACAACTCCCTAATCTAACATAACTCACCCGCGACAATATTTCTGTGAAGAAAGACTCAACAAATATGGAATCTGAGTGACTCATTGAGACTTATTGTGACCAATGAGAATTGGGAATATATTGAGCGATATAGCCTAACCTGTCAGCGGAATTAAACATTTCTAAAGAGTGTGTCAGAAAAACACGTATACAAAGCAAACAGGAAGCTGAAAAATTCGTAGTGGGCTTATTCGGAACAAACACTCTTCAATAGGTATTCCCTACAATGTACAGGGTGGGCCAAAGTGGTCACTTTTAAAGGAAAAGTTCTATTCCCGTACTAGATAGAAAAAAAACCGATGTTGATGCCTGTTGATCAATTCACATGACAAACTCAATGGTGAAAACTGTATATCGATATATATCTTAGTTTCAGAGTTACAAGGTGTTTTTCAAAAATATGAATTTTCAAAAGGTGGCTGAAACTCATTTTTTTGTCAAAACTTCTTCGTTTCCATAAAAACATTTCTAAAGTATTGGGTTTGTCATGAAAATTGATCCTCCGGCCTAAAATCAGTCACCATATACCTAGTGTCAAAATAGAACTTTTCCTTCAAGAAGAACAACTAATATTCTTGAACAATCAAATGTAACAAAAATGGTTAGGTGGGATGTATTACACCCCAGAGCACTTTAAGTACCTGTCACTCGCATCTGAACTGAAAAAATGCTAAAACAGCGACGACAGACGATGGATAAAGTATGAAATTGAGCTAAATACTGTCTGTAGATTAATCGAGGAGGTACGTGGTACATTCATTATTCCAGATTTTTATTTTATTTTGGGATTTTTTCTCCTCGTTTCTATGAAATAAAAATATGAATACTATATCAATATACTTGTAGTTAGGACAAATCTGATGAATTGCCCCAAAATTTCTCTGCGTTTATAGTACATTGTTTACCGGGTAGGAAGAGCTTAACATTCCTGGGCGACTGTGAAGATTGCTAGTCGAGGCGCAAGCCGAGACTTAGCAACACAGAGTCCAGGAATGTGGCTTTTCCTACGAGGTAAACATACTATTTTTCCGCAAATCGTTTAAAATTCGACAGGTATTGATTCCCTTTCGTGCGCTCCAAGCGATAAAAAAAAAATGGTGCTTTGAAATTCCTGATAAAATTACTTGGGTTACTATGGAAACGTATTGAGGTTGAATTGTCAAACTTGACGCTTATAAATTCAATTGCTGGTGTTCTCGAAAGTAAAATGATAAGTGATGATGAAATTTCCATTCCTGGGACTCCTCCAGAGCTGGTTGAGGCAGTGAATACTGCTTAATTAGAATTATTGCCAAAGAAATCAAGAGAAAAGTACGAAAATGCATACAGACGTTTTATGGATTATCGCATGAGTAAAAATACGAGTTCTTGCTCAGAAAATGTTGTAATGGCATACTTCCTAGACCTTTTTTTAAAGATGAAATCTTCAACATTATGGGCCAATTATTCAATGCTGAAGTCAACCCTTGCAATTAAACACAATGTAGATATATCTACATACTCAAAACTTCGTTCTTTATTGAAACGGCAAGCTCAAGGTTATAGGGCAAAGAAATCTAAGATTTTAAGGAAGGAAGAAATTGAAAAATTTATCCAGGAAGCTCCAGATAAAGAAAATTTAATGGTAATTTATAAGGTTTTAATTTCTATTTAGATTATACCTTTATTTATTTTTTAGGTGGCTGTAATATTTGGTATTTCTGGGGCCTGTAGAATGGATGAGTTAGTCCGAATGACTGTACACGATATAGAAGACCTAGAATCTAAGCTTTTTATCAGCATACCTGATTCGAAAACCAACAAACCAAGATCATTTGTAATTAATCAGATCTACTTGAATGTTTATCGAAAGTAGACCAGAAAATATGAACAGTGACCGATTTTGCTTCAAATATCAAAGCGGAAAGGGTTGTAGACAAGTGGTAGGAATTCATCAATTTAGAAAAATGCCCAAAATAGTTGCTACTTATTTGAACTTGGTAAATCCGACAGAATATACTGGTCACTGCTTTCGTCGGTCTTCTGCAACAATATTGGTTGACTCTGGTGCCGACATAACTAGTTTAAAGAGGCATGGCGGATGGAAGTCATCAAACGTTGCTGAAGGATATATCGAAGAATCGCTTAACAATAAGGTTGAGGTGGCAAATAAAATTTTCACAGTACAGAATATTCAACAAAATAACCCTACCACCCCGCATGTTGTCCAAAATGTTTCTCATAGTTCTGACAGTGTTCCTCCAATGTTCAATAATTGTACTAACTGTCAAATTACTGTAAATATAACAAATTAATCTCAAAAATGTATTCAGCAATGACTTGATGTTTTCAAAATATAAATTAATTCCTTATAAGCAATGTGTTTTCAATCATTTATGTAGAACACTAACTAACACTAGAAATATCATTTCCTTACAGTAAGGAAATGACATTCTTCAAGAAATTTTGACAGGAATGTCAAAATTTCCTAGCGATTTGCGGAAAAAGAATTTTCCTTGTCAGTGAAAATTCAATTCATGTTTGAAAAATCCCACGAGCCGCGTGATTTTGTCATTATGATAGCGAAAAAAGTTTGCCCTAACTTTTCCAGCGACAATAACGAAACCTAACTTTTGGAAGCATGACAACCAGCCATGAACAAATGTTTGATGAATTAAATTGTCTCACCGAATTACACTCTAGCTTTTATTTAGTCGAAGTAAACTTGGCATTTATAATTCGAATTTTGTTGCCATTAGGTAATTCAACTCAAAAAACTGCCAGATTGCCAGGCAACAAAATTCTTATTGATACATGCCAAGTTTACTTCGACAAAAAAAGTGACAATTTGTATTGGAAAAGGTTTGGAGCAGGGAAATAAAGGTATATAAAAAAAATATCAAATTTTTTACTTATCTTTAGACGCTTAGGGAACGATTCTGCTCCCGTTTTCAATATGAGAAATGGATTTTTGTATGGCAAATTCGTATTTGTCCTGACACTTTTCAGTTCTCAGTGACAATTGGTGACGTTGGCAATCAAATGAGTTACAGGATATTTTTATTAATTAATTTTGAATTTACCATTCTTATTTTCAGATTTCAGTAGTGAATACCATGTTCAATCTATCTGCTTGCATTCTTCTGAACGGAGACAATAGCATTGCTTCCTGTTCAGTTGATATAGATTGAACATGGTATTCACTACTGGAATCTGAAAATGAAGATGGTTAATTTAAGAATAATTAATGAAAACTTCCTGTAACTCATTTGATTGCCAACGTCACCAATTGTCACTGAAAAGAACTGAAAAGTGTCAGGACAAATATGAATTTGCCATACGGCAAATTCATTTGTTATGTTGAAAACGGGAGCAGATTCGTTCCCGAAACGTCCAAAGATGAGTAAAAAATTTGATATTTTTTGTATATACCTTTATTTCTCTTCTACAAACCTTTTTAAATACAAATTGTCACTGACAAGCTAGTGAAATTTTCTTTTAGGTTCTCTGATAGGAAAATTCTTTAAATGCAGTGACATTTTGGGGCAAATCATCTGATTTGTCCTAACTACACGTATTTTGGAATAGTATTCATATCTTCATTCTACAGAGACGAGGAGAGAAAATCCCAAAAAAAATCTGTAATAAGCTATTAGGATGCACATGCACATATCTTGTCAGCTCGCGAGATTTTGGCTTTACCAACGCCGGGTCAAAATCCAATGGCGGACATTCATTCTAGGTATTATCGGTAATATCAGTTTTTATGAAATTCTTTATGATCCTTTAAAAGATGAGCAGAGTTGACATCATCCTTTGCGCTCCAGCTAGGCCCTTTCCGTGCTGACGACGTTTGAAGCGAACGAAAGCACTAACGTCGAAGGGACGTACGGACGGACGGACAGCAGGGCCGAATGCACCCTTATCTGTGCGGGGGTGGCCGAGGTGGGGTCCGGGTGGTGACATAACACAAAGTTTCGTTTTTCCTTTCTTCCAATTCATCACGAACGAGGGTTTTCACGGTCTCTGTTATTGCATCGTTTTTGCGACGAGGGATGAGGGGGTTGGCGGGGGGATGATGGGGAGAGGGTGTGACGACAGTTTGAAGACTGAAGGCTTAGACGTTCTAATTGAGTTCTCGGTGATTGGGAGAGTGGTTGCTCGGAGGGCTATTTGTACGCCTTTTATATGAGGATGAAATACAGGGTTTCTAAAAATAATCGTTACATCAAAGTTCAAGAGCCGGCTACGAATTTCGACAGTCATCTTTTTTTATGTTCTGGTTTCCACGAAAAGGGATATCCTGTAATGTTCAGAGAACATCGTGAGAACCAAAGAAAATAAAGTAGGAATTGGTGTTCTTCTTGAATTTCTGGAGGTTATATGCCTCGGGGAACACCTCCCTTGGCAATGTATTCCAGAGCCTCGCTGTTCGTTGGATGAACGAGTCTTTGGAAAGAGATGTTCTGCAGGACTCCAAAGCGACCACGAAGGGGTGCGAAGCCTCAACTCGACGGGTTAATCTCGCGTGGGCTGCCAAGGGAGGAACAATTGTTGATATTTCAGAAGAGCATCGTCCATGAAAATATCTATAAAATAGAGCCAGATCGCCAACTTTTCTACGGTGTTCCAGAGAAGTGAGTGAGTTTGTGAGCGATGCATCACCCACGAGACGAATTGCCCTTTTTTTGACAGAATCCAACAGTTTCAGGGTATGTTTGGTTGCTGCACTCCAAATATTGGAACAGTATTCCAGGACAGTGCGGATCTGTGCCTTATGGTGGATTTATGCAGCAATTTTAAGTCATAAGTTGTAAGTCGTAAGTTTTAAGTCATAAGTCATAAGGAGTTGATTCATTAGTTTTCAATGTTCTCATTTATACACTTTACCTAAGTTTTAAGTTTTAAGTTGTAAGATTTAAGTCGTAAGAAAGTTGGCCAACTTTTATCTCTTACGACTTATAACTTAAAACTGATTGTATATACGCATGCGTGTAAAATTTCACATTCTGTGTTTCGTGACTTTTGTGTCATTCCCGTCATTTCTGAAAAATGTGAGGTTAATGTAATTGTATTTATTTATTTTTTTTCGTTTATTACATTCTTATTTCTTATCATTCCCTAATTCGGCAAAATGGAAATTGACGACGGCCAACTTATAGAAATTGTTCGACAATTTTCAATAATTTATGATATGAAACATCAAGATTATAGGAATCATGAAAAAAAAAAGCAATGCCTGGAAAACTATCAGTGAAATCATGCACCGCCCAGGTAAAGTTTTTATTTTGAGATTCCATTGAATAGATGAACTATGTTTTTGATTTTTAAAGCTGCAGAATGTGAAGCGCGTTGGGCTACCCTTCGAAACTTGTTTACCAGAGAATCGAAAAAAGTTAAAGTGGTACCTTCTGGTTCAGGTGGAAAGGGGAAGACGTGGGTTTGGTTGGAGGAAATGGGGTTTCTCTCTGAATATGTTCGAAGAAGGAAGTATGTTTTATAGATGTTTTGAATTATTGTTCAAGATATCTCTGATGCAGCAATTATTTTCAGGACAAAAGGTAATGTATCCAAACCTCTACAAAGTCAGGAAATAGAAGATTCAAGTCAATCTGATAATGTATGGGATACCATGTCTGAAATATTTAATACAAATGAACCACAACATATTGAGGAAGCAGGGCATGATGAAAATCTTGATCCCATGTCAGATATTGAGCTAGTCAGTGATGATGCAGAGCCAGAAAGAACTGCCACAGGAAAAAGAAAATTGAACCATGAAGAACCTCTTCCTGGTACCTCAACTTCAACTACACCTGCCAAAAAATCTTCACCATCTATCAGCATTTTGCGAAATGAGCGCCAAGAGAAGAGGAGAAAGATTAGTCAGCAATCAACACTCATTGAAACAATGAATAGTGCTTGGTCTAAATTTGACAAAGTTATCAACCAAAGCAGCCAAAAAGAGGAACAACCTGATTGTTTATTCGGAAGGATGGTGGCTGCTGAATTAGGGAGCATTGAAAATATCAATGTCAAATTCACTGCCAAGCAGGAAATAATCAAGATTCTTCACCTGGCAAAAAATGAACAGATGCAATAAACTTTGTCAAGTTTGAACTGAAGCACATGGGAAGGTATATATTGTGAAATTCTTTGATGGTTTTTAAATATCTACCCAGGTATACCTTCCCTTGTTCTGTGTTTAGAAATGGACAACCTGTGAGATTTATGATCATTTTTGTTTTATGTCAGTTCCTATATTTTTTTATCTGACTGAGAATGTTACTTATGTTGTTTTTTCCCTTTTAATAATATCATTTTCATTTCTTGTACCTGTTTTGTTGAAAGAGAATTATTTTTAATTTTAGCAAACCCCTGTACCTGATTTTTTATTTTTTTACTTTTTTGTGCTTTTTATCTCCCTAGGTACCTGTTGAAGTTATATCAATATACATTTTAGTTCAGATTTTGTTAACTTTTTATTTATACCATCCCAAGTAAAAATTATACATGAATGGACTGTATTAGTCTTTGATTAGTACTGCTTGAGGAATAATGGTCCTAGAGTATTTCATCATCAATTTATTTTAAAGTTATTATAAAAAAAGAAAAACCAGCATCATTTAAATTTAAAATCAACAGCTAAAAATTATCAGGTAGTGAACCCTTCAAGATGCTTTCTAACTGCCAAGGTACACTTCCTACTTGGCTGTTGAAGTAGTCGCATAAGATGTCCCTATTGGCTCTTACAGGTGCTTGTGCATTGTTAGCACCTAATCTGCCCACACTTCTGAGATAATTCCTCTCTTCCCGCCATGCTCCAGGTATTACAGTACCATCAGAGGTTTCATAATCTGTGTAACCTGTGGGACAATAGTGTCTTTCCTCAAGAGGTATATCTTCCTCAGCTCTCTGAAGATAATTATGGAGCACAACAGTCGCCAGAGCAATATTCTCGCAGGTGCTTACATCACCAATTATTGGTTTTCTCAGAATACGCCATCTCTGTGCCAGTATTCCAAAAGTATTTTCAATTGTACGTCTGGCCCTGGACAACCTATAATTAAAAATTCTTATTCTCTCTCCTGCATTTTGCTGTGGATATGGCCTCATTATGTGGTGGGTTAGAGGAAAAGCAGCATCAGCAACAAATACATGGGGAAAGATAACATTGGTATTAGGTAATTCGGAATCTTGGGGTAATCTCAATTCATTTTTCAAAATCGCACGTCCAAAACCAGACTCTTTGAAAACAGTCGAGTCATGGTTACTTCCTGCTGCACCAATATCTATTGCAGTGAATCTATAAAAGGCATCACAGCTGGCCATCAACACAATACTGTGATGTTTTTTGTAATTAAAATATAGGGTTCCTCCATGGTATGGTGCTTGAATCGCAATATGCTTTCCATCGATTGCCCCTAAACAATTTGGAAAGTTCCATCTCTTGTAAAACCCATCTGATATTTTCTGCCATTCTTCAGTTGACGGAGATTTTAAATAAATTGGTGCTAATACATCCCACAAAACTTTTGTCGTTTCATGAATGATAACACAAACTGTGGAATGGCCAATCATGTGACCCCATGCCAATTCTTGCATTGAACAACCCTCAGCCAAATAACTGCAATTATATCAAGGTTATCAATAAATTTCTACTGTGGAAGTGTATACTCACTGTAATGTTATGATCAGACGTTGAGCAGGTGACAGGGGGCGTTTTGTCTTATCCTTCTGTAAAAAGGGCTCTACCAATTGCAGAAGATTGAAAAATAATTTCGGGGTCATCCTACAATATTTGAAGAAGCTATCTTCATCGTTTTCTAACATGCTCGTCAAGACATTATTGAACATGCCCTTTTCCTTCCTATTCCTATTTATGGGACGAACTGAGTATCTCCTTGGGTTTCTTTTTTTGTTAAATATAGAAGCAAAGAACTTGTCGTTAATAGTGTCAACATCAACATAATAGTTGCCTTCTCTTCTATACTTCCTGGCATCATTCACCGAAATCTATTTCAAGTCAAGTCTTCAAGTAATATCGAAAAATTACAATAAACAAACACAAACAGCTGAGCGACAAGAACCTAACCTCGAACTAAGAAGTCTGAGAACATTAGCTGTCACGCGAACCTGACCAATGAGAAAAGCTTTCCGTATGACAGTTATGACACAGGATTGACACAGGTTATGACATGACAGTCCTTAATAATCTCTGCATGAATGCTCATTCTTCTCCTTATGACTTAAAGCTTATTACTTAAAACTTACGACTCACAACTTATGACTTAAAATTGCTGCATAAATCCACCATTATAGATCATAAGCAGCCGACTGGAAGTGAAATAGCTCATGGCACGAAACAAAAAACCAAGTTTTTGGTTTTGGGTGTATGATAAATTGTCATTCATCATACAGGGCGTGGAAAGAAATTCTGAATTGAGACTCTATCACGAATCTGCGATTAGAAGTCTATAAAAATCACAAGTTTCCATCGTTCACGTTTGAACCCCCTGATTGGGTATGAAAGTGTTGAAAAGGAATATTCTCAGAAAAATTATGAACATACAAAAATGGATATATATTTATATAAAGCAATACATTGAGAATTCGCATTCTCTATGTGATGAGAATATTTACTCTTTCTCAGTTGATTCAATAGAAAACAACTACTTTCCTGGCTATATGCCACGACGAACATTGAATTATATCTATTGAACACACACGATGAGAGTTTGAAAATAAAATATAAAAACTTTTGAATATTCAGAATGATGTGTGCATATACATATTTTTATCTGAAGGAGAATGCAAATTCTCATGGCAGAGCTCTTCCACATCAGGCAGTAGAGTTTGTTTCTTCGAGAAATGCGTAGGATATAAATTATCTGCGGAAACCAACGAAGTACGCTTTGGTAACTTTTTAACCTTAGAGAAACCGATTACTTGAATTTCTTCCACGTGAAAATACCATTTTATTGGACTACACCCCCTGGCGACGGAACAAAAAGGAAAACGACCGCACCTCGTCGCTCCCGCCCTCCGCAGAGCCCCACAACTCGTCGATATATCGTCCGCCAAAGGTATTTCGCCCCCGATCATCCCCCAACCAACCCACAACTTCGACGCTAATCAATCTTTCCTTAGCCCTTCCGACGCATTCGCCCTCACCCCATCACTCAATACCTCCCTGATGGCCCCCCCTTCACCGCTTTCCAGCAGGTCAACGCGCCATAAACAGTGGCGGATCCGGTTTTATTTCTAGAGGGCGCAAAGTACCGGATTCAGACGCTACTTTTCCAGGATATTGGATCATACGACACATGACATGTCATGCCAGTTTCACTGTATGCCTCAGTATTCTGGGGCCACACGATTAAATCACATATCACCAGGGTACAAACATTCCAAAACAACATCGCGAACATGGTAACAGGATCTCCCTGGTATGTTCGGAATAATCAAATCGCCAGGTACCTGAAAGTCACTTCAATCGTGTCCGTCATTAGAGAGCGAAACATCAAGATTTTCGAAAAAGCTGAGGTTCATGAGGATCAGCTTCTTCGAAATGCAGTTGATTATGTATGTGTATGACCCAGGCGATCAATCGGTCCCGGTCAAAAGTTAAATGGGGGGAGGGGAGACTTTTCACCTCCTCACTGTTTACTCTTCCCCTTGAGGCTGAACTGTAAATTCCTAATTATGTAGTTTTTGAATTACAGCCAAAAATGCAATTTCTTCAACCTTCATCTCCATAGAACATCTTGAACAAATGTTCATTACGTGTATATCCACAAAATACAACGAAATCTCGATTTCAATGGCTGAGACGCAGGGACACCTGTCATCCACATGACATGTAATGCATGGTAATTATATATATAAAGAAGAAGTGATGATGCAATGTACCTGTCTTGTATGTTTATTCCAAACGTTCATGAAAGACACAGAAGCATGATACAACGTGAAAGCATCTGAAAAACGATTATATTTAGTTATGTACACAGATAACAGATGCCGTTATTGCGAAAAAAAGGTGAGGTGTTATCGCGACAACAATTATTTCCAAAGCAAAGTTGATTGAATGCAACATTCGAGTTTTTGTTGGGTTTGAAATGACCATGATAAAATGTCGCTTTTTAAACGTTAATGCTTCGAAAACTATTGAATTTGTGATAATATACGGGATGTTCTATTCAAAAATTATTCAAGATTCATTTCTTGAAAAAATAGGTTTACATGTCCTATTTGAGACTTCCAAATTTCAAAATTAGTAAGATGAACGGACTTGCAACGGTCACAGTATAAACGGATGTTCTAGGTATATGTTGTACATTCCAATGGAGGCAAGCGTATGAAAGGTAGAAAGAAACGCCATCTAGTGTCAAGACTTTGACTAAATAATTGATAAACAAAATATGTATTTTATATAATGAATCTATTGGTTCTGTTCAAAAATATAATCTGATCTTGGGCTAAACTAATCAACTTATGACAAAAAATACAAAATGTATATGATTGATAGAACAATGAAATGATAGTTGAATCAACAAAATATATTTCATGTCAACTATACAAATGATGTTGAATGAAATGAAATCTTGATCAAGGAAGCAACTACCTATGTCAATTGGATTATTCGGGAGTCAAAGTTTGAGATTTTTACAATGTTTTTCTAGTTTCTTTCTCTAGAAATTTTCTCTGTGCTGCCTCTGCTTTCTTATATGTTTTCCGAAAACTGTATGAATTTCTAGATGAATGCAAAAAATAATTCACTTGTTATGAAACGTTATTTTTCGAGAACACTCTATTCGACATTTCTTAAAAATTGTCTAGGAAATACCTAGAATGATCGAAAGCTGTCATAAGATGTGTTGATGAAACTCAGTGGCAAAACTTAAAAAACACACTTATGAAAATATAGTATCTTCTTTAAGCTGTTGAAGTCCTGATGCTACAAAAATTGACTCACCCTGTACATAATATTTTTATTGGTTTCGCAGTGGCACAAGTGTATTCAATCCAACAAAAAAATAACAAAATAATTTTGTTGGCGCATCAAAACTTTTTTTGGCGAGGGTACACGCCCCTCCTGGAGCCGCCACTGGCTACAATTCTCGCCACTCACCCCTCAGGCACCCCACCGATTCCAATCCAACGCCGGACAATCGGTAAGATACAAATAAAAACAATTAGTGGAAAACGAAGACTAGGGGTAGAGGGTAGACGTGAACAAAAGTATGCTCAAGGGTGGAGGAATCATGGTTTGGTTCACCGCACACCGAAAAAATATAATGGGATCAAACAAAACCTCTTTGGTTCGAAAAAGTCGTACTTTCCGAAGGCAAGAAAATTATCTGAGAAGGGGAGGGAAGTTCCTAACTATATAATATAACTATGAGAGGTGCAAAAAAGGATACATGCCGAGATACATGCAAGATACTTCCACGGGAAATGTTCTTCGGAAATCTCTGCTATCATCCCTTCACTAGCAATACCAATCAGACGAACTAGACAAGCCCAGTCAGCACATCCTTTCGTTGTCAACCTCGAAAGATGTCGAACAGCACTTTATCAAGACTCCTTCATCCATAGAACGGCTAGGCTCTGGAATTCATTGCCTGTGGAGGTGTTCCCAACAACATATAATCTCCAAAAGTTCAAAAAAAATTCCAATACTTACCTCCTGTCCCTATCCTCCCAAGGAACGCACGATGTTCTCTGAACATTATAGGGATTCCCTTTCGTGCGCTCCAAGCGAAAAAAAAAAAAAAAAAAAAAAAAAAAAAAAAAAAAAAAAAAAAAAAAAAAAAAGCGAGAAAAAGGTTAATTGTATCAAATGCTTGGATCATGCATTATTGCTAATATATTGTTATTTTTGAGCGGCCAACCTTTTCAAAAATTGAAGAACGTTTAATATTTGGTGAATTAGGTCGTGGTTGTGCAATTAGTGCAAATAATCAATCATTTCCCGAAATAAGCCAAAAGCCAGATGGAATTCATCATGAATTTGTGCAAAATTGGAGTGCAAAACGAAGAATTCATTGCCATTTCTAACCTTGTTGTGAGAAAACAAGCACAAAATCGATGTTATCGAAATTGACAGATCACATTGCCCAAAATCGATTCCACCATTTCTTGCTCGAATACCAATATCTTCTCTATAACCATCTATTTGGAAACAGAATCAACCCGAATATCTGTTACTGTAGCAATAGTTTTGTCACTATTTTAGCATAAAGTGTAGTGGCCAAACTGATCCGAAAGGTTTGAGAATCGGTCGTAATCTATTTTTTGAAACGAAAATTCAAGATGGCGGTCCACTATGGCGGAGTTGTGTAATCCGATTTCATTCAAAATTGGTATCTGGGAATTTTCGGGGTCGGAGATTATGATTTATTCGTCAAAATTAGGAAATTCAAGATGGTGGATCCAATATAAAGGCGGACGAGTTTTTCAAATTATGGTCAGATTTCATTTAAAATTGGTATCTGGGGGTTTTTGGGGTCGAAAATTATGATTTATTCTTCGAAATTAGGAAATTCAAAATGGCGGATCCAATATGTCGGACGAGTTTTTTAATTATGGTCCGATTCTATTCAAAATTGGTATCTGGGAGTTATTGGAGTCGTAGATAATGATTATTTCATCAAAATTTGGATATCCAAAATACCAGATTCAATATGGCGTACGAGTTTTGTAACTATGATCCGATTCCATCAAAAATTTGTACTTCGGGGATTTTGGTGTCGAAGATTATGATTCTTTCATCGAAATTAGGAAATGGAAGATGGAGGATCTAAAATGGCGGACGACTTTTCTGATTTTGATCCGATTCTATTCGAAATTTGTATCTGTATTCTTTGAATTTGGAAAATTCAAGATGGCGGATCCAATATGGCGAAAGAGCTTTGCAATAAATAGTACATAGTTTGAGAAACTATTTAAACACGCTTTTATGGATAGCCAAACTAGAGGCCAAACTGTTTAGAAGTAAAAAATTAATAGTATAGTTTGAAAAACGAGATAGAATAGTGATTTGAAAAACTAATGAAACACGATTTGATGGATAGTCAAACTAAAGAAAAGTATAAAACGAAATGATAAAAGAGTGCATTCAACTAAAAAAATATTTTCAAGAAATAAATGTACATATAGCAAAACAACGTTTGCCGGGTATCAGCTAATAATAAACAGTAATTTGAAAAACTAATAAAACACGTTTTTATAGATAGCGAAACTAAAAAGAAGTGAGTAGAAAATAAAGAGTAGTTTTGAAAAAATGAAGAGATATAGATACCAAACTTACTTGTTTGTTCTAGAACTTGAAGACGTCCTTGGTCCTCGACTTACCTTTATGTTATTAATTAACATAGATTTCACACCATCACATATACATGGAATTGAATAGCTCATCTATTATATCACTTGTTTCATAGATTTCACTTTTCGTTATTGAGAAATTATACCCACAGTTTACTGTACGAATAAGTTAATCCTAGATGATAAGAATCCAATGAAAAATACTATACAAAATTATCTGTACATGGCCGAGAAACTTTCGGAACGAAGAAATTTCGTTTCGTTCGACTGTCTGTGAAGCATTTCAACAAATCTTAGGCTACTACTATAGCCCCTCAGTGAAAATAATGAGGAATAGCCTGCTCAATGACCAAACTTACGTGATTGTTCTAGAGCTTGAAGACGTCCTTGGTCCTCGACCTACCTTCATGTTGTTAATCAACATAGATTTCACACCATCACATACACATGAAATTGAATAGCTTATCTATTACAGCACTTATTCCATAGATTTCACTTTTCGTTAAAAATCGCGCAATTTTCTGCACCAGTAGTATATTTGTACGTCTCATAGGTACCATATTCCAATTTTAAACTTTCAGTGCATGAACATGATCAATAAAACTCGTCAATCAATACTGTTTCTTGTTATTTTTCAGCAAATATAATATTAAAACAATGCTAACGTATTTGATACTTCAATAACCTACCAAAAATCTAAAAAATAACTAATAATAATCATAACAATTCCTAAGCTATAAAAGTTCAACTTCTTTGTTAAATACTGGCTTACTAGAACAGAACACAACAGAATAGAATTCTGTCATTGATAAAATTACTAATACTTGAACATAGAATCCAGTGGATTTTTTGAACTTTCATCTTTGGGACAGTTCCTCAATCACTAGGTAATTGAGTCAGTGAGTGTTTGAAGAGTTTTTGAAACTCTCTCAACTCAACAAATAAATTAATAACCATACATCAACGATTTAAAGCTACTGACAAATTCAACGGTTGCAAGGGTTGGGCGTATATATACTTGTGAAACTATTGTATCGTGCTGTGATGTAACACTTTACCGCACAACTGTGGTAAAGTATCTCATTACGAAACTGAAATCAGTTTCGTAATGTTTCTCATTACTTATTGGTAGTAGGTAAAAATATTACCCACAGTTAATAAAAATAATGTGCACTCTTCAAGATCTATAAAATTCTCGGAATCGAAGAAATTTCATTTCGTTCGACCGTGAAACAATTCAACAAATTTTTGGTACGTGTTTTGGTAAACATCTGGCGCTACTAGCCCCTCAGTGGAAATAATGAGAAATAGCCTCACACAAGAATCGCTCAATGGCCAAACTCACATGTCTATTCTCGAACTTGAAGGCGTCCTCGTCCCGACACCCCAAACTCCTCATGTACTTCAAGTAGGTGGTGGTGATGGGCAGCGAGAAGTCGATGTCGCCTCCCAGCAGCATCTTCTTCTCGGGAGGCTCCCCACCGGTCTCGAGGCTTTCCACGGGCGACCATAGCTTGGGCGGCGCCTGTTCAAATCGAATAAAACGTTGATAGATAGATAGATTTATTTGACTATGTTACTCATACATATTATCGTCGGCTTACTATCAAAACCTCGTAAGTCTGAATTCTAGGGAATTTTAGGTTTGAACATTTTCACCATCTACGAAATTCAGCGCACCCATCACCAAATCATCGTAAGTCTATGTTTTTTGTAGCGACATCTGTTTGATATAATTTAAACCTCCTAACTCTACTCTGACAGATTTCGAACTCAAAAACTGCGAGAGAGGATAGGGTTAAGTTGTGCTTGTTGAGAAAGTATAAATCTCTATTGTTTGATTCATTATTCGAACTGAAATCTATGTCAGACACCAAAGTAAGTTCATGATAAACTATTTGGTCACTCTTCTCGAATATTTCTGCAGTGATGCGAATGACAATCTTGTTTTGATTCTTCATGTGAACGAGGTTCTGATCTGTATGTTATCTATCTAGTAGAGGACTTATGAGCTTTTGAGAAGATGTTATGAATATTTGTATAATTTTATTCTGTTCATTCCAAATGGAGACATTGATTGAAATATTTCGGTTCATTATTGTTGAACCCATATTTCTCATTGTTATCAAAACTGCCGCTGATTTGCTACATGCACTTTGAAGCAAGGCCAAACTGAATGACAATTTTCACTAGTAATTGATCAAAACCAATTCAGTCTGAATAATGTTCTACGCTTTGCGTCTCGGTTAACTAACTAATCTCACGCCAGAAATGAATCACTTCCCACCTCGGTGTGTAATATACTATTGCTCAATGACTTTTACTGACATAACATGAATGACCATTATCTGACAACTCAACAATATCATAGTAGCATTGATATAGTAGCCAAAACCATATTATAGAGAGGATGTGCTGTTCCGTTACCACCGATACAACAAGGCCAGCAGACTCTGACGTAAACAGCTCGTGACGTCGCCAAGTGAGGCCAGTGTTTTATTTTATCGCTTGTCGACTTACGCGTCAGTTCGTGTTAATTCATCGGTGATTCACGTATGTTTTTGAAACGGTCCCGAATTCTTTTGTTGTTTATTCATCAAAATAATTGGCGGAAAAATTACTGTTTTGTGAAATATTTTGTGTTGTGATCGGCGAAATAACAATGCCTTTCAAGTGTTGTGTTCCCTTTTGTCGGGGGAATTATGTGGGTGGTTCAAAAGTTCATGCTTTTAGTTTCCCTTTGGACGAGGAGCTATCGAAAATGTGGGTAAGTATATGCAATTCACCGCGAGGATTTTACTCCATCTAAGTATCTATGTTCAGTAGTAAACAGAGCTCAATTTATAATGATGAATTGATAATAGAAGACAATTACTCTCTCATAAAAAGTATAAGTATAGGAAAAATAGAAAAGCTTTGATTGTGCAGTTAGATTTGTATTCGTATATTATAGTCAACAAAATCATCTCTGAATTCGAGGAAATTTTCTTGAATGTTCATAATAAACGGGCATTTTTAATTCTCATTCTCAAATTTCTTTCTGAAAACGGTCATTTGCCTCGTGGCAATGAATGCAGAATTCATTACAATGATCAAATTGCAACTATCATATTAACATGAACTACAAACACTCTACTCAAAAAAGGTAAAACTGCATTTATCATGATATTTGACTGAAAAGTTCAAAATTTCACCTTATTTTTCACCTGTCTTCTGGATGGCATTTAGAACAAATTTCCCTTTTTTTTTATCATATTGGACAATTTATATATAATTCAACTATAAATATGATTTTCTTGAGATTAATCCATATTTAGTGAGAAGAAGGAAGAATATCATTCAAAATAATGGCGTGTGTAATGTCATTCGAAAGCAATCTATTGACATTTGATATCTCGTATTTCGATTGACTATTAGTTGCGTTTTATTTGTTCCATTCTGGTAGCGGTGGTGGGAACAGAATGACGTTTACAAATAAAACGGGAAACTTCATAACCTTGCTTGAGAGAATTTACATAAGAGGTTATATTTGTGGAGATCCAAATAATTTCAAAAGCATAATATTAGAGTTGAGAATCTAGAAAATAAATCAACTAATATTTGGAGCAGTGATTGTGGTGATTGAAGAAACTTCTCTGCGATCGACAGAGTTTATTTTATCTGGGAATGAACATATAAAACCTGTCTTACTTGAAAGAATCATGAACTAGTGAAACTCACGCTGCTGAAAATGTATTCTAAATGTGTTTTTCTTTCAAAAAGGTTCGTTTTTGGTCAACCTAATTTGATTTTTTGACACCTGTCAACAGTCATTCCACATCATTCCTTATAGTGAGATGGAATGGAAAGTAGCAACCGGAATCGGAAAAGTTGCAAATAAAACGACACATCAAACTGATTCCGGTGGTGGAATCGGACAAATAAAACGCAACAATTGATTAAATGGTCGTCATCTGGAATGCTTGTTCACTAAATATGAAAAACTCGCCATAAAAATCATATTTCCTGTTGAATTTTCTATATAAAAATGTGCCATCGAAGTACATCATGAGTATATAAAGTGTCCAATGACAAAATGAGAGCAAGTAGCTTCAAATGCCCCCAACACAAGGGGAGAAAGAAGGCGAAATAGTGGTTTGTTCACATTTTCATTATAAAATTCGGTTTATCATACAAAAATATGTGAGTACCGAAAAAAATTTTCAAAAAAAAAAACCATCGCATGATAAATGCAGTTCTACCCTTGAAAATTACGGTTTCAAGTGTAACGATCCACTTGGGTGAAAAATCCAATAACAGAAAATTGAAAACACTCACTGGTTATTTTTTCAGGTAATAGGAATTCTCCAAGATAAATATAGGTAATTGTAACGAACGGCATGTCTCACGATAAGTTTATGTTCTGCGGGCCCTGTATAAGTAGGTGTGAAGTTTACCTTCACCACAATTTTTGCCAATATATTTAATTCGAATGGGTTGCTGTATATAGGTGGATATTTGTGTTTTATCCTGGTTTTTGCTTTAAAACTTCGTTTTTCCATAATAAAATCGAATGGGGTGCGAAGAAGGGCTCAGTTGACGACTGGCATCCTTTTTTAACCGGAAGCCCTTCAAAAAGCAGCAAAATCGGCTCAATGATGATCTAAAACTAATATCGAAATACGCGGTCGCCTTATAGCGCTATAAGCGCTAATCGTTTCGAGCCGCTGGTTAGGCCTGACTAAGTGACGTCACCCACGGAGCATGCAGGCCTTGTTGAATCGGTGGTAACGGCTGTTCTGGTAGAGGTTATCTCGTTTGGCTGCAAGAGCTCATAACTTTTTTTAACGGGCACAACGGACCTTGGACCAAAGGACATTTGTTGTTCAGCATGCTTTGATTTATCCAATCCTAGATTTTCACAAAATTTCACCGTAGACAAGATTTCGATGTATAATTTTAATAAATACCTGATTTGGTAGTTGTTCGTGGGGCCGCTTCCTGGCAGGGCTCCTGGGCAGCGGGTCACGTGACGTTAGGTTGCACACGTCCAGCGGGTTGTTCGAGCGCCTCGGCAGGGGTTCGGGTGTGCTCGTTTTGGAGGGGGGATCGCGCTTCGGAGGCGTTCGGGTGCGGTCTGGTTGGGGGCTGTGGCAGAAACCGTTCAAGCCTAGGAAGGAAAAATTGATTATTTGATGGATCAAGAAATTTGATATATTGAATTAAATTTGAAATATGATTTCAATATCGAAAACATGAACTCAGTGTTTCGAATCGATGTTTTTCATAAAACTTTCTATACAGATTGTCCCTAATAGGGTACAGGGTGATTTTTCATATGTTACTAAATAGCTATATCATTTAATATTGGTTTTTCAGAAAAACGTTGAAATGGGTGATAATGAAGTATTTTTTATGCGCTTTCAGAATATGTTTCTAGAAAATGCAAAAAAGCATCGTAAAGCAAACAATTACACATAGACATAGATAGAACACCTTGTATTTCATTCTTGTAATAGAGCTCTTTCTTCTGATTTCAAATATATATATATAACGGTAACGATGAATATCCTCTCGTGGAAAAAATTCAAGCAGCCAGTTTCTGAGCAGTTTAATTATTTCAATTTTTTTCGATAACGTTCAATGATGCGTAAATATGATGAGAAAGGTTTCTCCCTATAGTCCTATAGTCCTTACAGTCACTCGGCATACTGTATGATGAAATGGTACATTATACACCTAGAGGATAAAGTGATATTTTAAATCACTGTAGACAAAAATTTCATAGCCCGGGAGGGGTATAATTTGTCGAAGGATTTAAAAACACTTTAGTCCAGAAGTGTATATACTATTTTATGCACTTCAGGATAGGTGAAACGTTGAAGAAAAAATAACGAAAAAAAAATTTAAATGCTACTAAACGGTAGTTACTCTATTTCTAAAACATCTAAACATCATCGAAGGGGCTGATTGTTACCATATCAACGACCTCAGTAACTATGGTGATCCAGATCATGATTGTCATCGGCAACTGAAAATCTTGGTGTGTTATGACAAGTAACTAAGTAAAACATAAAAAAATAAATATTAGTCAAACACGCCACACCGATTGAAAGACGTTGATCGCGATGGAACAGATCGAAAATGCAGCTCAAGAAGGGAATAAAAGTACCCTTTAAATCCCTGAAGTACATAAAACAATTTAAAAATCTTGAAACTACTCTGTAGTGAACAAAGCTTCTGCGGACACATTTTTATAATATAAGTCTAATTTTGACCTGAAAAATGATATATTATCTGTATATCTAGTTAATGGGCGAGTGGACAGGTAGTGTATAATTGAGATTCAACTACGTCACTGTATCGTTAGGGACCTGAATTAATGTTTGCATTACTTCTTACGCGTTGTTGAATTTCAGAGCTCATTTCGAACTTGCCGTCATAGCAGCCGTTTGACTGTTTTTGCTGTTTCATTATTGGTCAGATAATCTTCCATTCCCACCCATGAAGCAAGGTTGTCAAGTCACCAATTATAATCAAGTCATCAAAAAGTTGTCCTGACGTTTCAATAAAACTATATTCGAATTAAATATTCCATTTGACCTAACAGGAGAAAGTCATGATATTATAGTTATCAATTTGTAACTTTTTCGAGCAACCATCAGCTTTTCAAAATATTTCTTATACTCCAAACAAAACATCATGATAATGTTGGCTAGGCTAGACACTTGGCAATGCTGTGCTGAACGCTGAGAAATGACAAGACAACGCCCATAATCCTGTATTGTCACGTTAACTCGCGTTTACCAGACGAAATCTTCTCTAATGTGGATTAATATAATCATTATTAACACAAATTCATTATATGCAATATAAACGCATCACATTATAAGGGAAAAAATCACAAGACAATGAATATTCTATAGCTAATTGAGAATATTACCAATACGTAAATTGAGAATTTATGAATTATAAAATAAATGATATTTCTGAAGTTTCCATTCGTATTTCAACATAATAATATGGCAACTGTGCTATGGTCTGCCCCTACTCACAAGATCGTGACGTCAGTTTTTATCTGCGGTACATTTATAGCCGCTTGAAAATTACCGTGGAAATATTGATGATTTGAGCACATTGGAATCGACCGAAATTTTTTTAAAAAATATGGAATTGAATGGCAATTGAGTAAGGATTCTATTTAGGAAATAAAAAGAAGTGGTTCACACGCCTATAAAAAAGTGTCAATATTTCTCACCTCCGTTCGTCGTTCCGTAACCCAGCGACGCGCGGCACACCGCTGGTGCCGCTACTCCACCATGCGGCACCTGCGGCCCGGCCAGCGGCGCTGCGACGCCCGTCGGCGGCGTCGGGCTGGGGCTAGGCGTCGGCAGCGGGGGGGCAACCGCCGCCACTGGCGGGGACGGCGACCGTGGCCGTTTCTGGCACTCGGTGCAGCCCAGCAGGAAGCGGGTGACGGCCTCGCGCGGCAGGAAGGCGTACGTCTCGGTTATCTGCGAGAGAAATGGCGAGTATGTAGGGTGAGTTGATTCCATTTTGATTTTTATATGTGTGCAACGCACGCAGACCAAACTATAACTAAGTATAAATGAGTCGATATTCTGAAAACAGTTGAATGTCACTCCTTCCCTTGATACATAATTCGGCGCCAATTAAGGATATTGGCTATTTACCTACCAATAATGATATGATAATATTGTTTCGCTCCTTCGCTCTTACGTTCTTCCCTCACGTCGCTAGGTGATTTGTGCCCGCCTGTCCGCCATAAACAAACTACACTATCGCGCTTGGTCATTTACATCGTCCTTTTAGCACAGTAGGCGATAGTATACTTTGTTTATGGCGGGCACAGATCACCTAGCGACGTGAGGGAAGAACATAGGAGCGAAGGAGTGAAACAATATTATAATATCATTATTGGTAGATAAATAGCCAATATCCTTAATTGGCGCCAAATTATGTATCAATTAAGGGAAGAGGGAAGGAGTGTATAGTCGGTTGACATTCAACTGTTTTCAGAATATCTACTCATTTATACTCAGTTATGCGTGCGTTGCACACATATAAAAATCAAAATGGAATCAAACTGTTGTGCAGAATATGTTGGTGATTTCTGACCTGCCTCCAGACGTTAAACAAACTACACTATCGCGCTTGGCGGGGTTCTCCCACTACGTTGGTCATTTACGTCCTCCTTTCTCCAGACGCTAGTGGCTTTCTTTTGCAGGACTTTGGCAGCCCGAAGAACATATTTGTACAGAGGAAGGAAGGAATGCTCGAAGTCATCTCCACAAATTTTAGTGGTGTTTCATTCCTTTATTTTTTACATGTAGAATTTTGAAATTATCATCAAAACTATACGGTTTTCTTCTAATATATGGTTGGAGATTTTTTTAATCAGGGGTATACAAACTCAAATGTGGATCTTGTCCTAAGGTATATATCGGTCAGACAGGTCGTACGTTTAATCAGCGCATTCATGAACATAAGATGAATTTTATGAAAAAGAAAACAAATTCAACATACGCCAACCATATATTAGAAGAAAACCATAGTTTTGATGATAATTCCGAAATTCTGCACGTAGAAAATAAAAGAGTGAAACTCAATCATTTTGAATCATTAGAAATCAACAAGCTCAAAAATTTTGGCATTTTACTTAATGATCAATTAGACCTCAATAGTTCACCACTGTTGAATTTGTTTTCTTAGTAAGTAATCATATGTATTTGTTATCAACTCTTTCAAGTTTATCCGGAATACCGTAATTTAATGTAGATATTGTGCCTAATTTCCGAAATTGATCTCATGTGATTTTACCAAGAAAGGTTATTGCCGATGGTAATCCCAAGCATCGAAATGGATGTCTTCAAAGGTATGGTTACTCCTGAGAAGCTTATGTTGGGCGCAGTGAGATCGGCTTTTCTAGAGAAAAGACATGCTTGTGTTCTGTTTGCATTGAAATCTACCAAGTTATTGTATTCCCATTTGAGAATTGTTGCCACGTCCGTATTTATGTTGTTCACATTTCTCCCTCGGTCGTTTCTGATTTGGCTGGCTGGTATTGGAGCCCTGGAAGAGAATAAGGCGGTATGGAGGGTACTACCATCCGCGAAGCTGTGTACTGGACATGAAGTTGCTTTCAACAAATCGTAGATATGGAGTAGAAATAGTGATGGTGCTAGAATTGATCCTTGCGGAACACCAGCATTCATGGTAAGAGATTCAGATGAAACTCCGTCGACCAGTACATGGAGAGACCTGTTTGAGAGAAAACTAGCTAGCAGAGAACACAGCTGGGGAGGCAAGCCATAAGATGGAAGCTTGGCGAGGAGTCCGTGGTGCCAGACTCGATCGTGTTTTAGATGATTTGTATGTGTTTGTATGCGTAAATATGCAATTTACCGTACCCTCTTGAAGACACACCAAGCACACTCATTGAAACATGAAAGACATAAAAAGATAATTATATGAATGTACTTCTCTCTGAACATCTAGAGGAAGGAAGATGAATACGAGAAGCCTTCATCTAAGCGAAAAACATGTGCGATCTGCTTCGAGATCATTTTTATGGGTATTTCTAACTGTCACTGCTTGCGAAGCGTCGGACATCTGAATATACAAAAACTTTAAAACAAAAGTGTCAAATACATTAAGGAACTCTAGATTTCCTAAGGGTGTTGCGGTGTTAAGTGAGTCGCACTGTATGTAAATGTATTGTTAAGTATATGCCATCCACATATGGCAGTGAATAAATAAAATCTGACTCGTCAGCCATGCAGGAAACAGCCAACTGTCTCTCGTGTTCTTGTTGCAGGAATGCATGCATTCGTATACGATTGTATACGTCTCCGGTATCTGCCAGCGAATGAAATGAAATGAAATGAAATGCGACATTTTTTCGCTATTGCGGAAATGTCGAGGTTGAACTGACAGGTTGGACGCTGTACGTAACACGAAACAATCTGATTTTGTTTTTTTTTGTGATATTATATCCAAGCATCTTCACGACTTACTCATCATATTTTGATCTTTGATATCGAGTTTACCTATGCACAAAAAAATACCACATCGTTGAATGAAGCAAACTGAATTTCAATCTAGCTTATAAAATTGGCATATCTATATGCTCATCATTTTTTTTTTCAATCACTTGGAGCGCACGAGAGGAAATCCCTCTAATGTTCGAAGAACGTCGTATACGTATACCTAGGAAAGAGTTAGGTACTAGACTTTTTTTTAAATAGTTCCTCAGGCAAACGAGTTTTGATAAAGTGCTGTTCGACATATTTCCAGGTTGCCAACGGAAGGATGTGCTGACTGGGTTTGTCGATGTCGTCTGGCTGGTATTGCTAGTGATGGAATGATAGCAGAGATTCCAGAAGAACATTTCCCGTTTTAATATGTAAAATTATATTGACTTAGCACGAATAATCATTTTGTTTGATTCGAAATGAGAGAGATATTGATTCAGTTAAATATTTCAATGATTCATTGTTATATTTTGTAAACTCAATGAAATATTGTGTTATCTCGGTTAGTTCAATGAAATGTTACATTGATTTAAAAGAAAATCCATTTCAGTTTGACAAATTATTTTGTTGATATTGATAAAAAATGGAACTGAAAAAACTAATATAGCTTTATATAGTGAATTTCTAACATAGAACTTCAGTGTTCAAGACTATTTCGACGAAAATATGTCCATCATGTGGCAAAAAAGCACTTTTTCTACAAACGTCAAAAAATGACAAGGTTCGCGCATTGATAACAAATTGCGAAGTGACACTTTTTTTCTGTTTCCTACGTTACCATGATACCTTGCACAAATCAATGCGCGAAATAAAACAGTGCGCGAAGTACCTACTTCGCGCATTGTATGTAAAATATATGAGATATTTATATTTCAACTTTATGGTCCTCAATCGAGCAAACATCCACGAAATCATTTATTTCTGAATGTTCAACAATAACTTTGTTTTATCTCTTGGAGCGCACGAAAGGAAATTCCTATTATGTTCATGGGAACATCGTGCGTACCTAGGGACGATAGGGTGTGGCCTTTTAAGCCAGTTCAACACTATTTTTTATAAGCATATTTTCACTTTAGAACTATATTCTTTGACGTTTGTAGAAAAAATGTTGTTTGCAACTCGAGCGCGAAATACTTTGGTCATCTCGACTATTTTTTAACTCGGCTACGCCTCGTTAAAAAAACCAGATCTCGATCACCAAAGTAGCATTTCGCGCTCTAGATACAAAAATAACTATTATCCTGATGTCTTGAGTCAACCAAATATTTCATTGACATTGTAGATTTCAATGATGTATCCAAGAAAATGGTAGAATTGAAACTATTTCTTCATTGGAATAAGAAGAGTAGTATATGTTATCTCGAATATATCATTTTACATATGATGTTTCTGCCTCCCTCAAGTAACAAGTTGTTTTCAAATAATTCATTCATGAAACTAAAAAAATTTATTCGAGGACTGAAACTAAGAACTAGGTACAGTTTTACTTATGGAAACGATATTTTTATTCTTCAGGGTGATCAGATTTATGAATCTTGAACCACCCTGTATCTGTTCCAATTAGGTGTCATTAGATCAAAACTTCAGACAGGGACATGAAAGTCGTTTTGACCAATAATGAATAGATTCGGCACAAAAAAATCTGAATTTGAAAAATCTCGATTCTGAAGACCGCCATATCTCTGTGATATATTGATGGAATCAACTCTTCAGGGAGAATCTAAAAACGCAATGATATACAGGGATTTCTTTTAAAAATTAGCAACTTTGATACATTTCGTGCTTTTGGCACACCCTGTACAAGATGAACATATTTTTAAAATATGGCGCTAATAGGTCTCTATTCATAAAAAAAAAACTGTCAAAAAAACAAATGGTCTAGCCACAATGCTTCGGGTCGAATAACGTGAATAACCCTGTATAATAAAATATACTTTAGGTCGGCCATACCGTATGAGTTATTTTATTGATGACGTACACGAACGTCACTTTCACTTTTCCATTTAGGAATCTGTATATCTTACCGTTCGATAGGTCCGTTTTTGTCCCGCATGTTTTCCTGGGCGCCCTTCCAAATCGACATGAACATTATAGATGATGTCGAAGAAGTTTTCAACCACTGCAACTTTTCGGTAGATTGGATCCCCCGTTGAATTCTGAAACAAAAAATGATATTCAATCGATATTCTACTCGAATGAAACACATATAGACTTGATCAGGGATTCAAATTGTTTTCGCCGATATAATGAAGGTTCAGTTTCAATCGGATAGTGTCAAGTTAATTTGATAGAGTAACATTATTTATGGTTAATAAAAACAATGGAAACATTGAATCGGTCGACCACAAATTATATTAGCTATATAGACTCGTTTCGGCTCAAGAACCATCATCAGAAACAATAAATACCTGTAAAGAGAATGGAACAATACAAAGAAAACAATGTCATTTGATGTACAAAACTTATTTCCAAGTATACCTAAGGATGATACTATATTTTTAGTTGAGGAGTTATTATATAAAAACCACGTTAATACGATTACCAAACAAGAGATTTCAGACCTTCTGTTGATATGTCTCAAACAAAATCACTTTCAATTTCACAACAAGATATATTCCGCCGTCAAAAGGGTTGATTATGAGAAATCCACTGAGCCCTTTACTTGCTGAAATTTTCATGAATAACTTGGAGCGAATAATACATAAACATTCATTGATAAAACAATGTTTGTATTGGTATAGATACGTAGATGACGTTATAGTATGCTTTAAAGGAACCAATAGACAATTAGACAGTTTTCACCAATATATTAATACTATTCATCCAAACATAAAATTCTCAAGGAAATAGAAACCGAGAAGTCAATCAATTTCTTAGATTTGACAATAAGTAGAATTAATGATAAATGATTTTTCAATTTTCCATAAACCTTTCCACACTGATATCAATATTCATAATAATTCAACACATCCTCATCAACATAAAATTGCAGCATATAATAGTATGATATACAGGCTAGTGAATGTCCCTCTTTCGGAAGTAAATTTCAATAAAGAACTCAATATCATGAAACAGATTGCAGTCAACAACGGATACAACGTTAATTTCTAAAAAACTTCATAATAAATCTATTCAAGAAGTTTATCCTACCATCAAGAATAATAATCAAAATTATAGAACTTTAACCTATTTCGGATCATCAACTGAAAAATTAGCTTCATTTCTAGAAAAACAGGACTTGCACGTAGCATAAATAGAACAACAAACACGTTGGGAAGGTTTATAAAAAATACTAACGACAAAACTTCTAAATTCGAAAACTCACACACAAACTTAACTGTGGATCTTGCCCTGAGGTTTATATCGGCCAGACAGGTCGTACGTTAATCAGCGCATTCATGGACATGAGATGAATTTTTTTAAAAAGAAAACAAATTCAACATACGTCAACCATATATTAAAAGAAAACCATAGTTTTGATGATAATTCCGAAATTCTACACGTAGAAAATACAGGAATGGAACTCGATCATTTTGAATCATTAGAAATTAACAAACTCAAAAATATTGACATTTTACTTAACGATCAATTAGACCTCAATAGTTCACCACTGTTGAATTTGTTTTCTTAGTCAACCCTTTCAAGTTAATCCGGTACACCGTATTTTAATGTAAATATTGTGCCTATTTCCGAAAATGAAGGTTTATCGAACCTGTCCACAGGTAACTAATCCTTCAAGCATAAACTCACCACACCGTGTCTAGATGCCCGCGCGTCGGCAATCTACTTTGTTACATCTGCCCCCGTTCTTGTGTGGGGGGGCAAGTTTTCCAACCCACCATCACAAGAAAACATATATTTTTTCAGATGACTAATATGGAAAGTTCCACGCTCAAGGTCCGAGTCCGGCAAAACCAAAACATAGGTCTTTGGACTAAGAACCTTTTTGACACGGAAAGGACCCTCGAACAAAAGTAAAAACTTTTTCGTCTCCCGCAGCGAGGCCGACGATATGGGGTTTGCCTTCAGCAAAACGAGTTCCCCCACCGAGAAAGGCGTGAAAGGTCGTCCAGGGTGTTTTAGACGACGACGCGCAGCCCGGGACAACAACTGCTCACGGGCTAGAAAAAGTTTTACATGGTTTTCTGAACGGACCAATCCGGGGAAAATGATACTCTCTCGAAGGGGAGATCGGGTTTCCCTCCCAAACTGCAACTCTATTGGTGCAAAACCAGTAGACTCGTGCTGGACATTATTTAATACCTCCGCAAGTTTCGGGACTTCTAAGGCCCACCGAGTGTGTTTAGAGTAACAATAGGCGCGAAATAACCGACCTAGCTCACGCATAGTTCTTTCGGAGGGATTCCCCTCCGGATGCCTTACTGACGAATAGACCGGGACAATGCCCAGAGATTTTAGAGAATCCTTCCAAATCCCCGAAGTAAACTGGGTCCCACGATCACTCAGAACCCTCTTGGGCTGGCCTATTTTTTTAACGTAGTCCTGCACAAAATGTTTGACGACCGCTTCTGCGGTGGCTCGCTTTAGAGGATACAACGCGACGAACTTGCTAAAAACGTCCAAAACCACTAGAAGATACGAAACTCCCCCTCTTGACATAGGTAGGGGTCCATATAGATCCACAGCCACCAAGTCCGCTGGTCCCTCGGGAATAATAGTAGTTAGATCCGGTTTGGGCAAAATGGAATTTTTTGTTTTCTGACATAAGTCACACTGCTTGAGCACCTGCTTGACCTTCTTATGAAGTCCACGGTACCAAATATCCGCTCGGAGTGCCGTCCAAGTTTTGTAAACCCCAAAATGGGCAAAGTACTCATGATAGCATTTAATGAATTCAGCTATTCTCTTTTTGGGGATACACACTCGAAATTTGTCATCACTCCCAAAATATAAAATCTCGTTCTGCCAACAAAATCGATCCGACGCACCGCCCAAACGCAACTTTTCTATTTCTACCGCTAAAGCTGGATCCGCCAACTGGTCCTCGGACAACGTCTTCAACAAAGAGTGGAAGATGGGAGTATTCTTCAACACCGGGCAAATTCTGAAACAACTATTCGATGGGCTGGACAAACGCGCTGGGGGTTGTCTGGAGAGGATATCTGGTATGACGTTGAGACTCCCCTTGATGTGGTCCAAATCGAACGAAAACTCCTGAGATGCCAATACCCAACGGGTGATTCTGGCCGACAACAGCCTACATGAATTCAAATAGGAGAGAGCTTTGTGATCACTCAGTATGGTAAAATGCAGTCCTAAGAGATAAATTCTCCATTTACTCAGTGCAAACATCACCCCCAAAAGCTCTTTCTCGGGCACAGAATATCTTCGTTCTCTATCGAGAAGTATTCGACTAGCATACGCCACCACATATTTTTTTTCTCCGTCCCTCTGAAAAAGTACCGCCCCTAATCCAAAATCACTACTGTCCGTTTGTACGACGAACGGGAGGTCGACGCGGGGGTGGTAAAGCATCACCTCTTGCGACAGAACAAGTTTCAGTTTTTCGAAAGCGTCGATCTGCGACTGCTCCCAAATCCAACGATTTTGTTTACGAAGTAATGCTACTAACGGCTCAGAAACCTTAGCGAAATCTGCCGAGAAGCACCTATCAAAATTGCAGAGCCCCAAAAAACCCTGTAGTTCTCGAACATTTCTCGGAGTTGGAAAATCCTTTATGGCCTGGACACGCTCCGGATCGGCCATCCATCCTTCAGAATTCAGTACATAACCAAGAAACTTCATTTCTTTTCTAAAAAATACACATTTTTTTAAACGTAACGTGAGGCCCGCCTCTTTCAAACGGGTGAGGACTAAGTCCAAATGTTGGATATGCTCCTCAAAAGATCGTGATACCACTAACAAGTCGTCCACATATGAATGCACAAACGATTGAAAAAACGCCCCGAGTATCCTATCCATGCATCGTGTGAAGCTGGATACGGCCGTTTTCAGACCAAAAGGTAACACCCGGAAATGGTAACACCGAGTCCCATATCGGAATGCCGTGAACTTACGATGTTCGGGCTTGATCGGGATCTGCCAGTACGAATGTGTACAATCGAGAGAACTCAAAAACTGTACGCCAGACAGTTCCATCATAATTTGCTCAATGGGCCGGGGAAGTTCATTTTCTGCCTCCATTACCTTATTCAACCGCCGGGCATCCAAGCACACCCGCACCGTGCCATCCTTCTTCAACACTGTCACCAGAGGACTACAAAACGGGCTATTTGATCTCTCGATCACCCCCCAACTTTCCATCCGGTCAATCTCCGCCTGCACTGCCGACCGGTGCGCTACTGGAACTGGGTAAGGTTTCACTGTGAATGGCGTGGGATCGGTGAGGGTGATGGTATGTTCATATTCTGAAATTAAACCGGGTTGTTCCGAAAAAATATCATAGTGCTTTTGGAGCAAAGCAGAAAAAACCGCCTCCTGTTCCGGACACAATGACGCCTGGTTTATGACTTCTGCCAAATCAACTACTTCATCCAGGTTACTAATCATAGCTTCCGGATGCGAATGACTAATAGCACACATACGGGTAGCCCCAACACTAGTTTTCTCCCTGAAATGATCTTCGATATGTTCTGGAACTTCAATTCGCTTATTTTCAAAGAATAAAACAACCTTAGATTCCTGAAGATTTATAATGCCATGATATGTCCTCAAAAAATCTACTCCTAAAATAACGGGGTAGACTAGTCCAGGAATAACCAGGAATTCACACTGAAAACATTGCTTTCCGAGGTAGAAAAAGACAAGAGCTTGCTGAGACACCCTTTTTTGTCCCGCCCGGAATGCCCCCGTGATGCGTACCCCACTAACTTTGAAATACGGGAGATCTGGTAAAACGTATAACACCTGACTGAACACCTCATCAGACATGCAAGTAACTTCACTTCCCGAATCGACAAGGGCTGGAAAAGTTAGTCCTCCCATGGAGATTTGGATAAACGGAGACCGAGGGAGAGGAGCTGCATGATTTTTGTAATCACATTCCTCGGCCAATAAGTCTCCTACAGGGTAATTTGACATAGGAGAATGCAAATGGGTAGTCCCCTGAATAACCCCTACCACTGGACCAGATTGGTAGTTTGATATCAGTTTTCCGGAACAGAAGCTTCTTCCTCGACGACATCACATAAAACAGACACATTCCGAGGGCCTACTGGATGATCAGCCGAAAAATGTCCCCTTGGCTGACGTCCCTCACGCCGAAACTGATGATCCCTATTGTCCCTAACAGTACGATCGGGAAACGAGTGAGACCGAGATACATAATCCGCCTGAGACAAAGTTTCAATGGCACTATGGAAAGTCTTGACCCCTATCAAGGCCGCTGATATCGACAGGGGGTAGTGCCGAGCAATCATTGTCACCAGAATGGGCTCTGGTAGTGATGGTAACAAGTACCGAGCTTTACTGACTAAACTTAAAAAATAGTCGACATATGATTCCTCGGACGGCTTATAACGACCTGTCTCAAGTAGACTGCGCACTTCCAGCTGGCGAGCATCCCCCCAGAAATATGCTAAAAAAGACCGTTTCATTTCTTCAAAACTCGAAAAGTTATAAAGCATAGCATCCGCCCAGATTCTGGCTTTTTTCCTAAAAAGTGCATGGCACCAATGTGGTACTTGATTAAAAGGAATTCTGAAATTTATTAAGGAATATTCCAGCTTTTCCATGAACAATACTGGATGGATGCCTTCATTGTCAAAGTAGGGTAGGACTTTAGTTGCTTCAAGATTTGCATACACAGATAAGTTCTGAAACTGATTTCCCCCTCCACCCTGAGTATTTGGATAACTTTCCCTCACATAATTTGTACTTACTTGGGGGCCTATAGCACCAGTGTTAGGATTAAGACAAGAAGGACCTAACTTACTGGGAGGGTTATTTCCATAAACATTTTCATAAGGATGAGTGGCATTTTCATTACACTGCGAGCAAACATTTTGTTGATAAGGGTCATGGTATAAAGTAGGTGTAGGCCTTGTAACTGGACTATCACCTCTTTTCTGCCCCCGTGGCCCTATACCACTACCATAAATGTGGTTACCCCTGATCTCATGTTGACGGCCATTTTGTAATTGACCATGACCAGGGAGTACACAATCACTTTGATTTTGTTGCATGAAAACCTGATTGCTTACTAATTTTTGATGCCCCTGTACATAAGTTAAATCATCATAAACTTTTGGGTTTCCCTGTACATAAGTTAAATCATCATAAACCTTTTGGTTTCCCTGTACATAAGTAAAATCATCATAAACCTTTGGGTTTGCCTGTACATAAGTTAAATCATCATAAACCTTTGGATTTCCCTGTACATAAGTTGAACCATCAATAATATTTGGGTTTCTGCATGATGTTTGATGCCCTTGTACATAAGTAGAATTTTCCTCAACATTTGGGTTTCCCTGTACATAAGTAAAATCATCATAAACCTTTTGGTTTCCCTGTACATAAGTTAAATTTTCTGTATTCTCTACAAAGGATAATTTTTTTGGTATATTCTGGTTCTCTCTAATCACCTTATTTTGTAAAACATTCACATTTTGCTTATGCCCTAGTCCTGTGGAATATACAGCATTTTTTACTCTACTTTTAGCTAGATTAGGGGGATTCTGTCCTAATGATACATCTGATATTTTAGGTTTGGCACCACCAAACCCTTTGTTGTTTATCCTATCAACATTTTCACTGCCTCCACTTGCAGAATCCTTGCCATGTGGCCCCCTATCAACACTCCTGTGACCAGATTTACTGATCTCATCTGGTAACTGCTCCAAAGCTGATGCTGCCTCAGGATCACTTAACCTAATCATACCTTGTAGCAAGTTCTCATCACCTTCTGCATATAACACAGGTGGGCTTCTATCCTCAGAGGTCTTGCCAGGGCTCCTTGCAGTTGGCGTTGTTGACAATCTGCCTCTGCCTCTAGCTCTCGTTTGATACGTGTGTGGAGCTGCTGGAGTAGGTGTATGAATAACCATGTTTCTCGTAGTGTGTTTAATAGCCTGGAAAACACTCGCAGGCCTACGGTTTTACGTTGGTGCGCCAAGATGTGACAATACGCGGTCTCGCCGCTCTCAGGGGTACTTTTGAAAAGGACAGGATTATTCAATACACCTTAATTACGGTTTTCACCTTTCCAAAATCTTTATTTCACACAAACTAAAAGAGACAAAAAACCACAATGAGAAAATGATCCAAAACTCACGCGGTGGAGCGGATGAGGTTAGAAAAACATCATCAACAATATATTATAAAAACTTACCTAAAAGTGCAGACCGCACTATCAAAAGACGATTCGATAGTATCAAAGCCAGGAAGCACTCCTGTTTTTGATCAAGAAAGAGTTTTTGAAAAATGTTAACCCTTTTTCCTACGAAGTAAAATGTGGAAGAAGGCGCCAAAATCTGACAAAAGTCGACAATTGACAAACTGACATATCCATTGGTGACTATTGACGGGTACAGTAACTAGCAACACGCATAAACAGCATAAACTCACCACACCGTGTCTAGATGCCCGCGCGTCGGCAATCTACTTTGTTACAAGTAGGATATCTAAAAGTTAAGCAAGCCAAGGTTGGTTTAGTTCATTGTACAGTATATCACCTGACGAAGCTACTGTGTTAGCGAAACATGTGCGTTTAAGAATTATGTGGAAATTTGCCATGAATTTCTATCAAATAACGACCGAGTCAATTCAGAAAATACATAACTATGTAGAAGACAAAGCCAGGTCAAACAATCGAAAATTCAGTGCAGTAATGAAATCGCATGTTTTTTAAATCGACTAAATATAGCTAGATGATGATGATACAATTCAACATTGGTACAGAGAAATGTAAATTATTTGTAGTCACTAAAAAAGAATTTCATCACAAAATGTGTGTATAGCGAGGTGTTGAATGCTATTGTCTATGTCAAGTCAATTACAAGAAACACATAATGTCGACAATTTATGAACCCTCATTACTTTTTCCCTATATGTGAATTCAAGAAACATTTCCAGAATAAGGGTGTTGTGTCGCCCCTGCCCCTTTCTACTCGGCGCCCATGTGCGTATTTCCCGCACCACCTGAAACGATCGTACAACTTCCTTCCGCGTTTTCCGACGTTTTCCATTTCCACCTGCTAAAACCATAGTAACAGCCGGCACGGCGGTCGAGTTTGAGAATATTTTCCTTTGTGCAAAAAAGGTCGTTTCGGAAGCAATAGGGCGTATATATAGAACATTTTCCATGGGATGGGGTGAAAATTGAATCCCGTATGCATTTTTATTGAATTCAAATCACAAAATGAAGATTTATTCACGAGAATTTCGTCAACTAAAAACTATATACATATATAGGTTTGGAAAAACTCAAGTATTCGGCGTGTCTCACTTAGGAATGATCCCCTTTAATGGCTTTAATATCTCAGATATTCGTTACACTCCCGAGAATCGAGAATAAGTGAAAAAGTAGTGCCGAAATCTCTCTAGCAGGTGTGACTCAGAGTAACCTCAGAAAATCCCTGAATTTTTTTCGAATTTTTTGAGAATAGTGTAATATTATTTTCAGGACCCTCACAATCGTGTTAATTGGAATTGAAATGGGATTTCAACTCAGAATGATGAAAACGTTGATTTGGGAGAAATATGCATTCATTGTTTATGGTTTGTTATGGGAAGTAATGAAACAATTGCTTTCATTATTCAAGTAGGAAGCAGGGGATAGACCGCAACTTTCCAGTCAGCAAGTCCGTGGTAATATCAGAGAATCAATGATAGGCGACAGGCCAGTGGTCAAATTCATCATATCGCTTGTCATCTGTTGGAATAGGAGCTCCTCTATTTGCAAAAAGGTCGGTTGGTCGAAATTTTAACAAAAAATTGAACATCTCTATAGAAACATGTTGTTTGGGTATACTTACTCAGCATACATGAACAACCTGAGTTCCTTGAGTCGATCTTTGATATTGTAGCCTTCAGCTAAGTTCCACCCCTTCTATATACGAAGAGATGATGAATGTTCCAACAATGAGATAGCACTGGATTCATTGATGATTTTGGGAAATTGGGGAGAACCTAGAAATTTTCGATAGTATCGATAATATATCGATAATATCGATCATATCGATAATATCGATAATATCGATAATATCGATAATATCGATAATATCGATAATATCGATAATATCGATAATATCGATAATATCGATAATATCGATAATATCGATAATATCGATAATATCGATAATATTGATAATATTGATAATATCGATAATACTGATAATATCGATAATATCGATGATATCGATGATACCAATAATATTGATAACTTCGATAATATCGACAATTTTGATAATATCAATAATATCGATAAACCGATGATATCGATACATTGTGATTATCTATAATCGATAATCCAGAATCACTATCGCCCACCCGTAGTAGTATTATAGGTATATGTTCTTTTGACAGAATGATAGTGAATATCAATCGAATCAAAGTACTTATACAGGGTGTTTCATGAGCAGACTCACATAGCCGAATGGTTGATAGGGGAAATCAAGACGAGATGATGTATATATATGAAAACATTTTTTGACCCTCCATAACGAAGATACAGGGTATTATGTGAAATTGCTATATAACTTTGATCGTCGATAGTACAGAAATGATTCGTCATAATCTACTGAAATTTGGCAGCGACGTATCACTACTGAAACTATTCAAGATGACATATTATGAAAAAAATATCCAGGTCCGGACTTGGGAAAATTTTATGTTTTATTTTTATGTCAAAAAAGTTCACTTTGTGACCACTTTTCTCAAAAAATTCTATCAGATTCAGAAAGATCAGACAAAATTCTATGAGAACTGCTCTTCAATTTACACGGCACACTTTGTCCGGTTCAATAAAATAATATGGAACAAAATCTTTCGAATGAATTTTAAATTTCGACCTGGCTAATAACTGTCAACTTTCAACAGGTATCATGTGAATTGATTTTTCCTACATTTTCGTTCAATAGTGATTGACAGAAGAATAGACGAAAAGAAAAACACGATATTTTTTTATCGGAATTCCAGATAGATATTATTATTCCTGACTTTGTTTTATGGGTGTTTCTTGAAGTGAGATATCGAGTAGGTCCGGTTTCTCATTTGTGTGACGAGACGTGACGTTTGTTGATAATCCGAACTGATAGGTAGGTACTATAGGCTAGTACTAGGTAGGTACCATCTGATGGAATTACGACATGAAGATTCATGTGCCCATATTATGGTGATTTATCAAATTAGTTATGCCATCACGCATAAACTTAGCTCCATTTTTTGTTATTGATACACTTCTGCAAGTGACATAAGGATATGCATTTGCTATTTATTCAAAATTCCTAATGTTCATCATCGTGAAGGTTTTACTGCAACGTATTCTTGGGTCTGGGAACATTCTATGGTATTAAACATTTTCGTCTTGTTCAGCATTTGGAATATGAAGTGGCACCTAGAGTGTAAGAATATTTCGATTACCAGTGTTTACCTATCAACAAACGTCATGTTACATAAAATAAAAACAGGGCCCACTTTATAATAAATTTATGAAATAGAGTCACGAGTAATCATATCTATCTAGAAGTTCGATCAAAAACTAACATGTCAAATCATTAAAGAATCATAACTAATCTCTTTTGTCAATTTCTATACAATAAAAATGTACAAAAAATCAATTTACACGAATCCAGTTAAAAGTTGAGAGTTATCAGCCAGGTCGAAATTGAAAATTCATTCGAACGTTTTTGTTCCATATTTTTTTGTTGAACCGGTCAAAGTGTGCCGTGTAAATTGAAGAGCAGTTCTTATAGCATTTTGTCTGATATTTCTGAATCTGATGGAATTTTTTGAGAAAAGTGGTCACAAAGTGAACTTTTTTGACATAGCAATGAAATATAAAATTTTACCAAGTCCGGACCTGAATATTTTTTTCATAATATGTTATCTTGAATAGTTTCAGTAGAGGTACATTGCTGCCAAATTTCAGCAGATTACGACGAATCATTTCTGTAATATCGACCTTCAAAGTTATATAGCAATTTCACATAATACCCTGTATCTTCGTTATGGAGGGTCAAAAAATGTTTTCATATATATAGATTAACTCGTGTTGATTTCCCCTATTAACCATTTGGCTATGTGAGTCTCCTCATGAAACACCCTGTATAATAAGGTCACAAAAAGTTTCAGATGAACACTTGAGTTTTAAAGGTGGATGCTATGATGAAAAAATCAAACAAATTGTTCAAGATCAAGAAGTAACTGCATGATAATTGCAAAAGTCGGCCAGGAGATATAGTTATGAAAATAATTTCATGAAAAAATTCAACTTTGTTTCAGGATGGCACAGAATCATAAGCAGTCAATTTTTCACTTTAACGGCCATGTCAGTCATTGAAGACTGACATGAAATAATCCTGGAGGGCCGTGGTCATTATTAGTGGCCATCCACCACAAGCCGCATTACAAGTAGCGCGATGTAGTGATCGGAATCCAAAGTTATGCATTAATTAATTTTAGTTGACGTCTGAATATCACAGATCCAGCACAGTAGAGTGTCAGTCAACTGCGACTGACGAAAATTCATTTTTGACTAAAATGGCCCCTCTGTCAGCCACACAAGACTGTCGCAGCCCCACGGGAGAATTCCTTGTCAGTCAAATATGGCCCAAATGGGAAAGACTCCGAATACCCTCTGGCCGTTAATGTTTCTCTCCGTGTTAAATCTTTATATATTGTCACGAGTAGAACATACGGTATATTAGTAATTTCGAACCACGAGGGTTTCATAAACATTAAGTTAATCAAATCATCCGTTGACATTGAACTATGGATACTGACCAAGGAACTCTCATGAGAAACGTGCAAATCTAATAAAATGATGTATATAAATAGTGGATGTGAGGGTTCCGAAGTTAGTCTGTTCTGGGTCTACTCTTGACTT